TGAGCGGATCATCACCAGCGGCGTGCTTCATGTTCTGCTGATGTGTGTGTAAATCACTTTACTCCTCCAGCTCACTTCAGTTAAAAGACGACACTGAATAAAGGCATTTATAATGATTAACCCTAAACCTACAAGACAAACGCTTTGCATTCTTATAATCAATTCAAAAATAACATTATTGTTGAATTATGAACCATTTTTTTCTTTTCCCAATGGAGACCACAGTCCAGATGTCAAAGTCTCTTTAAGGCTAGTCCGTTCACTTTGCAGTGATCTTAACTCCTTCAGCGGATATTTTCTGTGTCATAACAGCTCAGTCACACTGAACAGAGAGAAATATCCAAACCCATTCATCAAAACAGCAATACAATCTGACAACGATGGTATCGTGTTTCTTTAGCTCACATCACTAAAAACTGCATTCTTCAGGCTGGACTCGATCTTCATCTCCATACAGCCTCCATATGAGAGCAGTTAGATACGAGTGACGTCTCCTCATCCTCACACCGTCTCTGCATCTGTCAGATTCAGCTTTAGTAACTTAACACACACACACACATCACTGATACACACACACACACACACACACATCACTGATACACACACACACACTCACTCTCACACACACACACCACACACACACACACACACATCACTGATACACACACACACACACACACACATCACTGATACACACACACACACACACACACATCACTGATACACACACACACACACACACACATCACTGATACACACACACACACACACACACATCACTGATACACACACACACACACACACACATCACTGATACACACACACACACACACACACATCACTGATACACACACACACACACACACACATCACTGATACACACACACACACACACACACATCACTGATACACACACACACACACAAACACATCACTGATACATACACACACGCACACACACACACACACACATCACTTGCAGAGACATGGAGATCATGCTGTGCACATGTGGAAACATTCACGAGCATGGGCATTTGTCAATGCTGCAGTGCAAGTTTTATTAATGTAATAGCTTCGATACTGAGTCGCTACGTACACACACACAAACACACACACACACACACACACTTACTCTCACACACACACACACACACACTCACACAGAGGGGTCGGAGCTTATTGTGTGTGAACTGCATCCGCAAATCAAACACTCAAGTTGTGAGTGCTGATGACAGGACAGTAACTGATGAGAGGCTGTGGAGTCTGTCACTGTACGCTGGTCCACGGTGGAAATATGCTGCTATCACTGGAAGTGTCTCTGGAAAATGCCCATCACACTGTGCTGCCATATGTGCTTTGAGAACGGCCAAGAAATCAACGGCATTTTGGATGATACTAACCCAATAAATAACTCAACTTAAAGTGCTCTCAAAGCTATCCCTATGTGAACCTGCCAAGAAAGGTAAAGACTGAAGTATTTACATGAAGATCTACATCATCTAACACCCGTATGATTTTGACGGAGCTCTCGAAATGAGTTGTCAGTGATGTTTGGTCATGAGGAACACAGACACCAAAGATATTAGATGTCAAACCTGATCAGCCATCATAGAGGATCTGAGCTCTGGGAATTATAGGGATTTGGGGTTATATATGTTTTGTGATAATGACTGTCTGACCATACATTACTCCTCTTACTTGATGGCTACATAACAAATAAATACATGGTCATAAAATATTGATTTGGGTGTGAATATTTTGATTATGTGAGAAGTAAATCTGGAGTGATATCACTGAGAAAGCAGGCCGATTAAAGAGTTTTTCTGTCATTATAATTAAATATGTGAGCGCTGAATGCTGCCAATGACCAAACACAATCCATGAAATAATATAAAAAAATGAATAAGACAGATCCATTCTGTACGTACCTCATCTTGATATGCGAAGAACAGAATCATGAACAGAATCTCCAACAATAATATCAGGAGCAACAGAATGAAGAACTGTAGAAACACAAACAGAGGGATTATTAGATGATATATCAATATTGATGATACATCAGTATTCTCCAGCATTTTGTCATGACTGTAATTAGACAGTTTTTTGCTGATTGTGTTTTTGTGCTGGTATCTCAGCTGGTTCTGGTCTGTTGCTGACAGCTGGGATTTCAAGGGACATTTTAGCTTTATAAGTGCTTTTTCTAACCTGACGCAGTGTTTCATGATTCTTTCTGATTCTTTCATCTGAGTAGCATTATAAAACACTGTGGGGCTGTTATCAATCAGTACAACAAAATCCATCTTCGCACTGCAGAAGTGGACAGAAGCTGCATCTGAAGTGTTTTTTAGTGAATTTACACAGACGGCTTAATGTTTTAAAAATGCATGTAAAATTAATGTTTTATATTAAAAATATTTAGGAATGGAATTATACATTAAAAATGCAACTAAAACTGTCAGTATGTGGCAGCAAGTAACAGCCTTAATGAGTTATGAACGAGTCGTTGAGTTATTCACTTAACTGATTCAAAACCATCCAAAAATGCAGATTCATTCAGAAACAAAATGCTCAAAATGCTCACAGCCACAAAACTGTTCTGTTATGGGTTGTTTGGAACTATTTTCATTTGCAGAATAGAGCAAAATGGACAATATTGTGTCTTAAATGTAACCCACTTAATATTACTTTCTTGTTTATTGAACTGTTTTATAAAATCAATGCCATATTTGCAATTGTACTGATGAAGTGTGCTGATAAAGCTCTCTGTTTTTTGTAAAGTGAGTGACTCTCCATAATCTCAGCTTGGGCATCATTACAACAACAAGTACAATATTATCATAGATGATACATATCGTACACCTAGTGAACATTTATGTCCTCAAAGACACTTTATTGGAAATAATACAGGGTAAAGAAAACTGCCCAGCTTTATTCTTGCAGTCTTTATTTTATATGTCCGGTTTCCTCCCACAGCCCAAAGACATGCAGGTTAGGTTAATTAAACATTCTCAATTGTCCCCGGATGTGTGTGTAAAGACAAGATTCACGTACGGATCGACTTGTGTGTGGATTAAGTGGTTCTCACCATGAATATAGCCATAGATGCTGGATTGGCGTTAAGAAATAAATAAACAAACAAACATACTTTATTTCATGTCTACATAGAAGGGGGGAAAAAAGCCCACTTTGAATAGGACTGTGCTTTATAGGAAAACTACTGAAAACAAATAAATACAGTCCTGGATGTTTGTTATTTGTGTGATTTTAAATATCTTCATATTTTGAATCCCTCTGCACAAACAGACTGTATTAGACAAAACATCAGGACTATACAGGGAGCAGTGAATGAGTGAGTGATTTGGGACGCAACACATGTGATTCTCCAGCACTGCACTGACTGTGAGGCTGTTTAAATGATTAATTGCTCGTCAAGCTAACCTTAATTTCTCATGTCATTGATCTTGTGCCTCAGAAACTCACTAGAGCACTCAAACTCTATCATGCTGTGAACTGAGAAGATCCTATTCATTCACCCACAACAGCTCTCACACTTCCAGTCGCTTTAGAAATCATGGTAGAATCTGTACAATCACCTTGATCCAAAACCATCAGTAATAAGATTACAGTGTGAGCTCAGGTTCAGCAAGTGCTGTTGAGTATTCAACATAAGCATAAAAGGACTAAAAAAACTTATGCGCACAACTGAGTAGGATAAACTTTTTATCCGATAAGAAAAAATGTGCATAAACTACGATGGAAACACATTTACTGAATAAATTCCACCATGCGCATCGGAAAAGTCATGTGACTTTGCGCTATGAGACGGGATAACTTCACTAACCAGCGGACCGATCTCGTTCACAGCATCTATATGTTGTTTTGGTCGTTCTGAAATACCTGAGCAAAATCTGTCATCAAAGTATTTCTGTATAATTACTGTCTTACACGACTGCGTTCCCAAACAGCAGCATCCAGCTCTGAAAGCAGTGACCGCATTTATTGTGTTACGTCTGCTCTCTCTGAAGCGCAAGTAATTTATTACATATGAAAATTATTATATTCAGTGGCTTCTCCTAGTTTTCTTAGTGATATTTAGTGCCAGTTTACCAGGAAGTGACGATTTTGTTCTCTTTGACTCGTTGGATGGAAACGGTGCTTTATGCGCAAATGTTTTATGCGATATTCCAGTTTTGCGCATAAGTTAAATTTGAATCTTTGGATGGAAACATAGCTAGTGACACCTTTCACTGAAGAAAGAGCCGGATTCTGAGTCAACAGCCTTGAAGATGTAGTGCCATGAAATGCTAAACTCCTGGAGCACAGAGAAGCTCCTTGTACGTACTTGTAGAAGTACTTGAGAAGTGACTTGTAATGCGGAACAAGCAGATCTTTTTCTGTTTCAGAGACCCATTGGTTTCCTAAATAATTCAGTTTCTGTTAGCTGACCGCCGACCGTTCTTTGGCCCGTTCAGATCAGGCGAAGCGATTGGCTGTTGTTGGTCATCTCTCGTGTCTAAAGTTCATTCTCCGTTATTTTACATCAAATGTAGTTTTTCTCCTGGTCACAGCTGCGTTTGGTTTGCACACAAGATATATCATACTGTATGAGTTATGTATTACTGTATCATACTGTACTGTGCGTTGTGAGAAAATAAAACTGATTTGGCAAATATTGGCTAAAAATGTATAAAAGACATATAAATTATCTTAATTTAAAATTTGGGCTAACATTTAGTGCAGCGACTCTACGTAAAAGCCTCTTTAACATATGTATGTGTTTATCTGCACATCTTAACAAATGATCTCCAAAATATCGTCAAAGCACACCACAATTTGTTAGAAAAAGCAAATTCTTGGCTGTTATTTTGGATGTCAGTAGATGCGCTGTCTGTGTATGATGTGAACGGCTGAGTGTGAGAGTGTTCACAGAAGAGTGTTTGTCATAAACTGATACAATCTTGTTTTGGAGCAGTGTTTTTGAAGCAGTTTCCAATTAGACATTTATGTAAATGTCTACAAAAACATCCAAGGGTCACTATTATCAGCGTTGGGAAGAAAAAGTATTCAGTGGAAAAGTCCCAAATGTATTTTATGGTATGTCGTCTTTAACTCCTCGTGGTCTTGTCTGTGGGGAATAAAGATGTGTTTGTGTGACGGGGTGTTATCATAAGGCTGCTGTAATCACAGCGATAAACACACACAGGAGAGCACAGGCCATCTGACATCAACATCATCCCCCATGTGGACATCATAAATCATCTTCAGGCTATGATAGTCTCGGAGGTGAACAGCATTATATATTCATAGACACACAGAGCAGAGGAACGGAGAACGTGACTAAATCAACATCAGCAATTAGGGCTAAACATTATGATCTCAGTGTACTGAATTAAGTATTTAATTTAAGTAATCTTAAAGACATACAAGAACCTTTATGCATGTTTTTCTTTCTAAAAATATTAAAATCCATAATTTATTTTCACTTTCACTATAGGAATAAATAGATAACTTTAGAAAAAAAAAGGCAGTCTGCAGTTATGTATCATTTGCGCATGGCTCCTCATTATAAATAATAAATAGGGACAGCGGTGTTTAGCCCTCAGGCACCGAAGGAATAAAGCCGACCTGGCCTGAGCCCTGCAGTTTGCTCAAGGACTAATGTTAAATAATGTTAATGATTGTGGGATATGCAGGTAGAGCTTCGTTCAGACAAAGATGAAAATCCACAAACAAATTCCAAACCTTAAAATCAAAGGGCTGTGTTCAGTATCTTGTACTGTACTGTTCTTTCCATGTCAGAACTAAATGGTGTTCAACTCGCTTTACGTTCCCTATTCAAACGGAGGAATGACCTGGATGTGAAATCAGCTGTGAGCTCCGTTCGGCTCATTATTTGATAGACATTTTTACTGGATTACAAGAGCAAAATATCTGTATTTCGTTTGAGATGATAACTGAATGGCACTGACTGAATTAAACATACAGTGTGAAATGAATCACGGATCTGCTGGGATTGTTCATGACATCACATGATCAGACCGACGGACTGTAGACGGATAAAGATTGTGTTTATCCTTGAGAAAGGCCGCTTTGCCCTTCATGATTGTTAGTATGCGTACAACTCAAATAAAACAATCCAGCGCAGCCCCTCTGAGGTTACGACGGGCTGATATCTGCATCTGTCACGGGACGCTGAATACCGAATGTAGGTCTCTCTGTCCTCCAGAACCATCCACTGCGCTTTAAAAGATACTGGAGTCAGAGAATTACCATAAAGCTTTGAATATCACCTCACAAAACCATGGAGGTACTGTTTGAAACCAGGGCTTTCCACGCGTTCCTGGATCGTCCTCAGCACTGCACATGGATGTCTCTCCTATAGTCTAACCCTAACTACTAATCTGATGAGTCAATGAAGATATTCAGAGTTAAATGAGGGAGACATCTGAAGTGTGCAGGGCTGCAGAGACTCCAGAAACATCTTGAACCATCATTCATAAAATATAATTATTGTGGATGACATCTTTTGACGTATTATTTACAGATTGAAAATAAGTAAATAATGCAATCAAAACAGCGTGTGTCTCTTTTTGAGCTCCTGAAGTATCTCTGCTAATGTCTTTTCCCACATTCCTTTGGTTAGGGTTAGTGTTTGTGAGCTGTGAATATCAGCACTCAGCGGTGCCTCTCGTCCAATCAGATCCAAGCACCAGAACCAACCGTTACGGTTTAGTTAAGGCCTTTTTATTATGTGATGACTTCTGTTGTTGTTTTATGACATTTCCACTTTGTTCCCAGTGTAACAGCGAATGATGACATGCATTAAGGACGGTCATGTTTCAATGATCTAAATACTATAGCTTATAATATTATGTTGTCATGCACGCTGGCAGAAATTGTTACCTTTCAATTTTTCTTATTAATCCTTATAAACACCAAGAGATGATAGCAATTAGCTTTTGTAGATAATCTTGCTGTCCTGTCAGCTCACAGCAGAAACGCTGGGTTGAATCCTCACGGACATGATCATGTTCACCTGTTCCTCGTGGAGTGAAATGATGCTAATAAGCTTTACCCGCGGGTGCTAATATGAATTCCTGCTAGTGCCTCTATTACAGCAGCCATCAAACTCTAATCAACATCAATATTGCCACTCAAGTGCCACATCTTATTATCTGAACTATGAGCAGAAAGTAAAATTGTGGTTCAAATGAATAACGTCAAACAAACACGTCACTTCAAGATGAAACCGTATTTCTTATGCTTCTGATTCGCACAATGTGTAGTTTGTTATTTATGATCTCATATGTACTGTACTGACTCAAACAGGGTGTTTAGTCTGCTCCTTCCTAGTTAAGCATGCTAGCGTGTTTGGTTTACTTACGCTCAGGAGTAACGGCCGGTTCTGTTTGACCGCGCCCACACAGCCCAAACAGCCAATCAGCATGATGATGCTGCCGACAGCGATGAGCAGATTGGCGGCAGAGAGCGACGGTAGAGACGAGGAGAGCGTGGCGAAGTTTCCCTGCGTGATGGAAAGCCAAACTCCCACTCCCAGAATCCCACAGCCGCCCAGCTGAGAGAGAGAACAACACCGAGCTGAAGGAGACACTCAAAACTACACAATAACAGGCTCGTACACACAAACATTTATTATACTATCGACATGCATTCGTTTTAGTGCCACTAATCCAGAATTTGACATTTCTAATGATTAAATAGGGCATGTTCTGTTCCTCACTGAGAGAGAGATGTGCTTGTATGTATAAAACATTGCTCTGGCTCATTAAAACGCAGTCTGTCAGTACAGCGGATGTAAAGTGCTGCAGAACACTGTGGTGACACAATATCTGTTGTCTTCTTTAAAATCTGTTTTGAAAAGGGTCTGTTTCAGTCCTTTAAGATGTCAGATGTCAATCCAGTTCTTCTCATATATCATCAAAAATAGTTCAAATTGAAACGTAACTCTAAACTGCTTCATCCAGCAGATCATCTTTGTGTGCGTGTGTGTGTGTGCGCGTGTGCGTGTGTGAGTGTGTGTGTGAGTGTGTGTGTGTGTGTATGTGTGTGTGTGTGTGTGTTTGCTAAAAAGTTGTGACTGTTAGGCAGGCAATTCCCTTTGACTGTAATGCGTTCTGATTTGCTAGAGATTATTAAATAACAACTGAAACTGGAAGCCAGCAATTATGCTAAAATCATTATATTCACCAGCCGAGTAATGAGGAAATCACCTTCTTTAACGGATCACGCCAGCATCTGATGCCGAGGCCAAAATAAGACGCAGGAATAAGATGATTAAGGTTCGCCTGTGCTGTAACCTCAATACTGTTGGCTCTGCAATTAATTTCTTAAGCTGCGTTATTGTAAGTCGCTTAATATATGTAAATGTTAATGTGAGGTTCATGCAAGAAATGTCCTATACATATAAAGGCCAAGTGTGCTGCTGTAATGTCAACTAGTCAGAGTGTTTGGATGGAAATGAGTCTAATGAGTCCAAACCTGCATCTGTCTTTTCATTAATGTTAAAAGGTATGTGTGTGAGATGCTGGTGAATTACGCTCTGATCACTTCACAGTTTCTGAACTCAGATAATCACACTCTTGATCCTGGCTATGAATCTAATCTCAATCTTACATGTATCCAAACTCAACCGGAGCAAAGCCCATCTCACAAGAATTCTCAAGAACAACATGTGTACACAATTAGCACACTGTATCAAATGCTTCATTTATGGAACTATGTACACAGTAGTTTAAGGCACCTCATACTGAAGTTTAGACTTTTAAATAGCTTTACAGAATCAGTGAACGTGGGTCAATCATTGCACAGTTTTGTCAGGCACCCATTTATGACCCAAAAACGGCCCTGATCCACCCGACCCAACCCTCAATGACTTCCACTCATGTGCTTTCTGATTGTGTTGTGTTTATAAATGATAAAGCAATCAAATGATTTCAGATCAGACTGTATCTTTGGACGTGTGTTTGTGATGTGAGTTTATTCTCTGTCTCCGCTGCTGCTTCATTATGTGTTTGTGTTTGTCATCACAGATGTGTAACGGCTCAAACACTACATCACTGTCCTTTCATCTGTAACCAAGAGTCATTTCACACCGCAATCACCATTCACAGCATCAGAGAGTCACAGGTCAAATAATGATACAGTCTGTGAACACAGTTAGTGAGTGAGCCAAAAGGATGTGAAATAGTGCAACATCTTCAATAAACAAAAAGCACAAATAACTCGTCCTG